ACTCAAAATTTATTGAGTTTGTTAACTTTTTTATATTTGATATGAAGTTAATATTAAGAAAGTTAAGAGAAAGTTATCAAACATGTTTTATACTAAGAAAGTTAGGGAAAGATTTTTTTTCCTTCAAAAAACATAGGAAAATATTGTTTATTGGGAACTGTCTTAGAAAATAAAAGTTTTACTATTTATTTATTCTAGTATTCTATGCCAAAGAAATGATTATTCTATCCTTAATATACAAAAAGTCATTAGAGTTTTTTGGACACTTTGTAGTATTGTAGGCAAGGTTGTTGTGATACCCCAAAAATTTCTAGAATAAATAAGTGAGTTAGGGGCTAACTTGTGAAAAAATATTGTTTTGGGCTAATAGCCAAAATATCCAAAGTTGAGGGGCTTAAAAGTGAAAGACATTTGAATAAGGATGGCTTATTTCTTTTCTCCTTTTCCTCTTTCTTCTCAGCCCGATTCTGCTCTTCTTCTTCTTCTCCCCGTTGCAGCCCACCCGAAAGAAGAAAAAAAAAAAAAAGAAAAGGGAACTCAGCCATGCCTTGAGGAAACCGGTAGAGAGCTTGATTTTATCCTTCTTTTCTTGCTCTAGAACACATGTAAAACCCAGAAACATTCCCCCTCTCTGCAGAAATCCCGGATCTGCTCTGCTCTGCTCCTCACCGCCAGCTGCTCCTGCTTTGTGGAGGGCGAATCGCTCCGGTTTCTGGTAAGAAACAGCCATGAATCTCCCTTCTCTAGCTTTGAATTGCCTTGGGTTTACCTTAATTGCTCTTGGTTCCTTCAATTTTTGGTAGCCCCGTGATTTTTCTCCTGCAGATTGTCGCCGGCCTTCCCCCAACTGCAGTCTGGTTTTAGCTGGAAAATTCTGGTATGGACAGTCCTTTTAAGGCTTAAATTATCCATTTAGTTTGCTGGCTGTGTTGTCCGAATTTGGCTGAAAATTGGGGAGGAATTCCGGTAGCTTTAGGATAAAATTAAGCATTAATTCCAGTGGGATTTATGTGATTGAGTGTTAATTGACTGCTGTGATTTTTGGAGAGAAAATCCCGTGAAATTAGCTAGTGTTTTGGCCAATTTTAGAAGTGCAGTTACTGTTTATGGATACTGTTAACGGGCACTGTTCATGCACTGATGGCCAACCATTAATGAGGATTTAAATGTTTAGTTTGTGATATAGAATAAATTTAGAGATGTCGGGTCATGTGGGGATTGAGAGGAATAGCATCATGATTAGAGGGTAGTTATGGTGATTTTACTTTTGAATCCGTGGTACGGTAATTAATTCTTAGATTTTTTGATTAGGTTCCTGAACGTTCTGTTAGTTTAGCACTGAGATTGAATCTTCGGTTTTATGCAATTTGAGGTAAGTAAATATATGGTAATGCCCGTATAGTTTTTAAAAACATGTTTTGACTTGTTTTTGAAATGGTGGCAGGACTAAACCCGTTTTACACGAGCATAACTGATTTGAAGTGAAATTTTTATACTTTTCATTAAAGTGAGCATGCCTACTTGAGATTTAATTGATTGTCCCGATGATCGGAAAGTGATTGGTGAAGTATGATTTTCTGTTAAATTTTGCCTGTTTTGAATATGGTCATGTTATTCGTGTGCCCGCTAGTGGGAGGTTTATAAACGCTAGCACATGTCAACATGTTACTGATAGAACCGGTTCGTTTCTGTTATCTTGCTAGTGGGATTATACACTGGTAAATCGTGTGCCTGCCAGTAGGAGGTTTATAACACTGGCCATGACCTATGGAGGAGACATCTATTTCGTTTCCATACTTGTCCTTGTTTTTCGTGATTATACTGGTTGGCATGCTATAAGTTTAATTAAGGGCTATCCATATTTACTTATTGGGTTATCTCATAGTTTTTCTTTATCCACCATTTCAAGAAGCGAAACCGAGGACGGGAAACCACGGAAAGTGACGAGTTAGAAGCCTAGCCATTTCAAGATTGATATATGTTTTAGAAATAAATCATGATCTTGTAAACTCGACTTTATTGGAGATTTATAATATTAGAGCAAATTATAAAATTTGATCTTCAGATTTTGATGGTATCATATTGTGGTATAATAAGTTTCGAGCCTTGTGCATTTGTGGGACTTTTTCACAAGATGCACGGCGTTTTTCGTACCTCGGATTTGAGTTATGGGACGTGACAGTTGTAAATGAGTCCAATCAAGCTTTTTAGAATTTAAACTCAAGCTCGATACTAGACTAATGAGTTGAGTTGAGTTTAAGTTTCTATCAAATTCAAATAGATTTAGCTAGAATCTAACTTACGAGCTTAACCTGCTAACTCGAACTTAACTATTAAACTCAATTTATCTTTCTCTTACCCTAACTTAAAAACCTTAATTTAGGGTAAAATATAAGAGCTTAAACTCTAACAATATCAAGCAACTAATTCTCAACATACCAAAAAAAGAAAAAAGAAAAAAGAAAAGAAAAGAAAAAACTCTAGCCTTTCAACTTATAGGGTTGAAATGACTAAATTCCACATTTAGATAACCTTTATATATATATATATATATATATATATATTTCCTTTAACAAATACAACTTATTCTAATTTTGCAAAATCAAAAGCAACAATGGAGCAAGGAATGATGAATTGTGAGAATTTAGGAGTTAAGAGACCTATTGATTGCATTGGTTTTAATAGTGAAGTACTAAAATGGAACTTACTTGTAATTTAGGGTGTATTGTTGTTGCTTTTTTTTTTTTTGGTACATCCTGGTATCTAAAAATCATTTTAAGCTCATTAATATGGAGTCAAGCTGCATCAAAATTCATAAGGGTGAAGCTCTCTCAACATTTATTTCTTCATTCATAAAACTCAAATTCAAGATTTTATTTAAAAGGTTAAATACCTTTTTTGGTCCCTCTACTATTGAAAAAAGTCCCTTTTTGGTCCGTCTATTAAATTTTTATTGATCTGTCACGTTAATTAACAAAATCAATTGACATGGAAATTACATGGATAAAATATAAATTCATGTAAGCATTTCATATGAATATTTTAAGCCACCTATACAAATTAAAAATTTTACTTCTTAATTTATGAATTAAATGAATTAAAACATAATTAAATTTAATTTCTTCATTTTCTTCTTTCTCCTCGTCCTTATTCTCCTCCTTTAATTTCTTCATCTTCTTCTTTCTCCTCATCCTCGACATATTCTTCACCGTTCTCTTTGCCATCTAGTTTATCATCCGGGGTTCCTTGTGGAACCGAGTTTCTGGGTTTCAACCCTCTTTTTTTTTCTTTTTTTTTTTTTATTTTGACTGTATCTATCTTCCATAAAAGGAGCTGAATGAAACCAAAGTTTCATGTTCAGTTTTGAATTAGAGACGTTAAGTTCTGGGTTTGAAATTGCAGGTGATAATAAGTTTATGTTGTTGTGTTCATGTTGCTATTAACTTCACAACTTGATTTATCCATGACCTAGGTTCAACAGGAAGAAAGATATGAAAATCTAAAATTAGTCAACAAGTAAAGTCATTCTCTTTTCTAGAAAAGAAGTTAGAGTTTGCAATATTGAAAAATCATTTTAATTAGTAATTAATTTTTATTTTTATCAATAAAAATATTCTTATTAATTCTCAATTATATCTTGATCAATCTCACATGTAAAGGATTGATCACAAACAAAAAACAAGAATTTTGAAAGATGGAAGATGATATTTGGGGAGGGAACTACAGAAAAATGGAGAATTTTAGAATGTGGATCTCATCATTTAAGGTTTTTTTTTTTTTTTTTTCCAAGCTAGGAGAGTGACATGGAAGGGGTATATTAAGTCCATGTAAGTACTTTTATACTGTGTAATAGCCATGTTAGATGTTTCTGTTAAGATAATGTGCCACATGAGCAAATATTTAACCAAGGGACTAAAAATGGGCTAGATTTTACATAGTAAGGACCGCGAAGGGGATTTTTTTGGTATAGGGACCTAAAAGGGGCTTTTTCCAATAGTTGAAGGACCAAAAAGGGTATTTAACCTATTTAAAAAGAATCAACACAACCAGAAATTGTTGATATTCAAACTGACATAATTCAGACCGGTTAACTTTGGTCTAAAAAATATTTATTCGGACCACAATTAGTCTAAATATTTATGGATATAGAATTGGTGAAAGTTTATTAAATTCAAACTGTAAATGATTTGAAAAATATGCGAAACATTTTCAAACCAACTATGGTCTGAATATTATCACTAAAAAATATAAAATGCCAATTAATTAAAGTGGAAGCTAGTGGCAAGATTATTTTTTTTTTCCATATTTCCAGATCGACTATGGTCTGAAAAATTGCAAGATAATTCTTGAAGTAAAATGATATTTAAAATGCAGTGTATTTTGAATATATCAGACCAAAATTGTTTGGAAAATTACACCAGAAAAATGTAAATTTTCAGACCAACTTTGGTTTAGATAAAGTTAAGTACCTAGACCAGTTATGCTCCAAAAGAGTTGGCCCAGTACATTTGGTTGAGATGATGTTGAGTAAGCTTTTGGCCCATTTTCGAATTGGGAATGGTTCGAAAAAAAGAAGTCTACAAAGATTCTGCAAACTCCTCTTCTTCGTGTATCCCTTCACCTATTTCCCATTTCAACTTCTGATTTTCCTCCTTGTTTTCACCATTTTCTACAACTCTTTCTT